TAAATGAATGTCAAACCAATAAATGATTTTTGGATGTTAAATACTATTGGATTAGTTGCTTGCACTGCGTTGTGTGATGAATTTTGGTAATTAAAGTGTACTTGTTTTGATGACATTGAGTGCTCGACTAAAGGAGTTCATATTGTGGTAATTGTTTCCTAGAAGAATATTGATTTTATTTTTCGGTAAGGCCCCGCATGACAAACCCACACCGCAACACCACGGCTGCCTCTGTTGTGTCCGTCACTCCATCTCTGTTAAGGCCCTCATCAATAAATTACTCGATTTTATGCCACATTTGTTTTATCAGTTAAGCTGGACCTGATTTTACACCCTCTGACTCTGTTAAGTGTTAAGTTGTGTAAAGACTTGGTTTTGTATTGGTTTATTAATAGTTTAAGGCTACTCTTATTAGTATTGGTTATGTGATGTGTATTTTAATTTCAATTTTGGTATGCCTGACTGGATAGGAAAGTTCATCAGTTGGCCTGGTTTGGCATTGACATTCAGTTCATACTTACATAGGATGTGGTGGGGCTGGCCGACCTGCCCTGGAGCGAGCCGGGTCCGTAACTACTCGGCCCGACTTGGCCAAGTGTCGTCACTACTCGTAACATAAAATTCACTGTTTAGTCCATTTCTAATGCCGCTCTAGTATGTATGGAGTTGTGCAAAACACTTGGTTAAATGTTATGCTATATTTTTGCACTACAATTTTCTCTCAATCTTTTATGTACTTTTTAACTGGTTTTATTTAATTCTAGTTGACAAAAAATACACTAATAAATTCATTGATTTTGTTGAATAAGTTTTAATTTTGATTTTGTATCAGTAATCTCAACCATTAACAACTTGTTCAAAGTGGTGCTGCAAGATTATGATAATCTTCCAATTCCAAACTTGTCTTGCAACTGCGACCTTTTTATTAAGACTAGTATTCATCCTGTGCACATGCACAGATGTACATAAAATATTATAAGTAATATGTGTGATTTTAATATTAAAATTATTGATAATAAACATATCACATTTCCAAGATATGTGAATTTAATATTTCTAGATAATGGACATACCACATTTTCAAGATTTAATCATTAGTAAAAATAAAATAATATTGATATAAATTATTTGAGTACATATGAATCACTATATTGATTAAAAAGAAAATTTTGTGGGTAATGTAATTTTTATAATTTGGAGGGTTAGTGGTCAAATAATTTACTTGAAACTTTAATTATTATTATTATTATTATTATTATTATTATTATTATTATTATTATTATTATTACAACGACAATTGTTTAGAAGATTTTAATGTTTTTTCACAATACTATTAAAACTATTTATTAATTGTTTTTGAAGAAAATTGTTTCATGAAATACAGAATTAAAATAATAATAATAATAACAATAATAATAAAAATAATAATAATAATAATAATAATAATAATAATAATAATATCATTTATAAAACCTAGTTAAGTGTAATCATGTATTTATAAAACTTAATAATAAAAGATATTTATTTTCCCTCCAAAAGAAGTTATAAAATTTTTCATTCATATTTTGCCTTTCACATTAATACACCCTGTGAAGCGTAATCATGTGTTTTTTTGCTATTATATTATATAATAGTTAATTCTATTA